AGTTGATAGGCTTGGTCGAACAACACCTCGCCAAAAGTGTATTCATTGCGAAGAGGACTTTGTTGATTTAATCATTCAGTTAAAGGAACATTTATTTCCTTTAGTGGTCGAACTTGCTTGTCAAGTTCTCTCGTTACCAGCTTCTTCTGCTGCTACAGAACATTGTTGGTCAAACTTTGGATTCATCCATAATAAATATCGTGCACGCTTGGATAATGATCGGGTAAAAAATTGGTGACTGTCTATCAAAATTTGAGAATTCAGAAAGAAATTAGAGACGACGGTTGGTTTGATGATGATGATGATATCAATAATTAACTTAGAATAGATAATTTATTTTTATTACATTATATCGCTTCAAATTTTAAATGCAAAATATGCTACAAGACATTTAAAAAAAAAATTTCTAAGCGATTCATTTTTAAAAGCTTTATTCAACGAGATTTACACAGCGATAATACATTGTATATTTAACATCAACAAATATGCATTTAACATTGAAATAAAAACAATAAATAATTAAATTAAATCGGTCAAAATTCATTTTTATAACTCTTGTACAAGTAACGGCAATATTTTTAATAAATTCGAGATCATAAAAGGAATAAGTTTTTTTCTGAAATTAAAATTAGCCAATCAGAAGTGGTAGTTTCAGTTTCAACCAAAATTTAACATCAGCTGCCGATGCTTTAAAAAATTTTTTAAAACAATAAAAAATGTTTAAAAAACTGTTTAAAACGTTTTTTTACTATCCCTAACACTAAACATGTTGGGCAAGTATTCAAACGAAAATTTAATAATATTGAATGTGTCAATATAATGATAAATTATATTGCATGTAATACATGTTTTTTATTATATACCGAATCAATAACTTAACCGGATCGGCCGAAAAATCATTCGGTAAATTGTATCAGGCGCCCCAGGAAAATTATGAGAATAGCTGTAATGGGCGACTACGATTTCATTAGTCCTAATTTTTTGATCGTTGCTCTTAGCCAATCAAAATCGAGGATCTGTTGCGCATTTTTTTGTGCGGCACCTAGGCACAGACCTATCTGTGCATACACCCAAAAATTTTTTAAGCTCGACGACTTTTGATTCCATAGTTAGATGCCAACGCCATGTAAACTTTATTTTGAAATTAAGTACGTACTAAAATACATTATTAGTTTTAATTAATATTAATTGCGATTTACTCTCAGACCATTCCTATGTTTTTATAATTAGATGACGAATTCTTAAAAGGATTTTACCTTGTATATGCAGTAAATCGTGAAAATCAAAACAATACGAATCAATGGTATAGAAATACCCAAAGTTACGTCTTAAATATAACATTTACAGTTTTCTAATGCTAATACAGAATCTAAATTCAATTATCTATTTATAATTTTAAAAACTAACTTTTCACATTGTGCATTCTTCATGTTAAAACAATCGATCTTTTTATTTAACTCAAAAATATATATATATATATATAAATATATGTATCAATATACATAATCAATATATGGAAACCCATTGTAGAAAGAGGTGGTGGACCAAAAGTTGAATATTTTAATTTTATAATAATTTTTATTCTAATCAATCTGATTCTTAAAGATATTGATTTTTTTAAAGAATTTTTTTGGCTTATCCCCTTCTTTTGCCGTGGGGCCCCATATATAGTTTATTTGTAATCAATAATTCTTAAATTACTTATTAGGGTCAAATTTTAGCTATCAATTACATAAATAATTACATTGCCTATCCCTAATCAAAATCATCCAAATCGGATCACTAGACCACGAGTTAGTTAAACTTTTTTTTAAATATTCTTTTGTGCTAAAATGAATGCCATGTTGTACGAATATGAAAGTCACTTTGTAAGAATTTAAAAGTCATTTTTGTAACGATTTAATGAATTTGAGTGTCAAAAGAGATATAATAAAATTAAGTTACAGTTGTTTTCAAAAATTTACAGCTGGTTTCAAAAAGGTGTGAACAACAATTTCAATATACCTACGTGGGAAAATGAAGAATCAGAAATTCCGATTATATAATAAAAATTTAAGGTCAGATTAGAGCTAGTTATGAAAATTCTGGAAATATGGAAATTTCGTGAATTTCTCGTGATATGATGTTCTGCATCTGTTCACACCTTTTTGAAAACAGCTATAAGCAAGTGTAAACCGGTGCACAAAATCTACTGTAAAATACCGGAGATTCCAGTTGATTAAAAAAAATTCCGGCATGATTTTTTGATCGGCAGAAATTTTCCGTTACTTATGCAATTTCTGAATTTGTAAAATTAATAAAATAGACTATTAACTATTAATAAAATATTACGTACATAATGAGCAATTTGTATATTGATATATAAATGTTTGTATTTATGAATTTAAATAAAAATTTTTTTTTTCGAATTAATGGATCAAAGCGAAAGTATTCAAAATGATCAAAGTATTTATGAAAGTGAAATTTTTTTCGAACCGGATCTAAATGAACATATTCAAAATGATCAAAGTATTTGTGACAACTGTGAAAGCGATTATGAAAATGATACAAATGATCAAAGTGATCAAGAACTGGCATTATTTAATAATAAAAAAAAGTCAAAGATTATAACGAAGCCCAAGCCTAGCTTCAAAAGTTATTGGCTTAATGAGTTTAAATGGCTTCAATATGATAGGGTTTCTCAACGAATGTTTTGTAAATATTGTAAAACAGTACAAAAAACAAAATGTTTTTGGAAGTACAGGTAAACAAAAATTAAAATGTTGTTATTAATCTTATACTGTATAATATTTAATAGATCGAATATTTTTGTTGTAGGATCTATAAATTTTGGTCACAAAAGTTCTATTAAAGAATATGCATTTTCAGATCAACATATTGATCTGATACTGCTGAAGAAACAGTAGATAAAGAATCAGGACAACTTACACAACAACATACAAATCATATAATTGGAGTTATAAAAATTGTATATACTCTTATAAAACAAGAAATAGCACTAGCTAAGCTTCCATATTTCGTTCAAATGTCTTATGAATTGGAGTCTCCATTTATTGTAGATGGTTCAATTACTTATGAAAATGAAGTATCTGGCCATGAATTTGCATTTGCAATATCGAATATAATTAAGGCTGAAATATGGGAAGAAATTCGTGAATCTGTATCTTTTGGAATTATGATCGATGAGAGTACAGATATTTCTACAAATAAACATATAGATATTTATATAATGTATCCAAATATTTCAGGAAATATAAAGACACATTTTTTGCAATTACTTGCACTTGAGCAAAGTGATACAAAACAATCACTACAAAGTTAATTAGGCTATTTCAAGATTATAGTAAATACGGATTATATTTTTTTTATTAAACATATACTGTATAATATTAATTATATATATATATATATTGATATGTAGATGTTATAGATAAGTTAGTAGCTTTTGCCTTGGATGGAGCATCTGTAATGATTGGAGCCAAAAATTGAGTTGTGCAAAATATACCCTTATATTGTTTACAACCATTGTATTGCACATTGTCTAGCATTGGCTTGCAAAGATTCACAAAAACAGCTTGATTACTTTATTATTGCTGAGGCTACTATTAAAGATGTATATAAATTTTATAAAAATTCTGCAAAACGAATTAATATACTTCAAGAATATCAACAAATTCTTGATTTTCCTAAGCTACGATTAAAAAAATTAAAAGAAATACGATGGCTTGGCTAGTATAAAGCTGTAAAAAATTTTGTTAAACATTACCAGCTGTTCTTTCACAACTTCAAAACGACAATAGTAAAGTTGCTAGTGACTTATATCAACGATTATGTAACTGGAGATTGCTAGGATTTTTTCATTTTATTTATGATGTTTTAGGACAATTATCATAATTAATTGATGATCCAGATAAGATTGGCATAATTACTATATTGGGACAATAGTAAATTTTGGGGATAAATACAATATAACTTTTATTATATACTGAAATCTGAGCAGAGTTGAATGAAAAGTATTTTTTTATTAAGCTAACAACTAAAGTCAATTAATTAAAAGTTGTAGAGCTCACTGAGACGCATCTAATGGTGGTTAGATCGTCCAAATTGGCCTGGTGAATACCGAGATATTGCTAAAAAATGACTGATCGACTATATAAAATTCTATATAAACAAAGTATTGTTTACATAGAAATTTTATATAGTCAGCCAATCATTTTTTGGTAATATCTCGGTATCCACTGTGTCAATTTGAACGATCTAACTACCATTATATGTGTCTCAATGAGCTCTACAACTTTCAATTAATTTGCTTTGGTTATTAACTTAATAAAAAAAATACTTTTCATTCGACTCTGCTCAGATTCGAGCATATAGTTAACATCATAGGGATTTTGCCCCAAATTCTAATATAGAAATTGTACTGATCTTATCCGGATCAGCAATTAAATAAATTTTTTCAAAAGCGCAATCTTTATTTTCATGACATTATTTCTATGATTGATACCACGATTGCAAGTATTCAAAATAATTATATTACAGAAGCATATTTGAGCTATCATTTAGAACTTTTTATTGATCATATGAATCTGTTTAATAACAATAATAATATAACTTATTATACACATATACTTGCATATAATAATCGTGATTATGATGATTTATTGCAGGATGCTTATGAATATGCAAGTATAGTAACTAATGAAATTGAAAATCATTTTCCAGATTGCCTTTGATTGCAGCAATAAGAATTTTAAATCCTGTAGAATGGCCTTGCAAAAAAGAAAAATTATTAGAATTTGGCTATGATGAATTGCAAGTTTTATTAAACCATTATGGATCATCAAAAACTATTAATGGACAAAATTTTTTACCATTAATAGACGCAGATTCTTGTATCATAGAGTGGTCAGGTTTTAAAAATGTTGTTTTTTCAAATTTTTTATCATTTTCTTCATGAGAATTACTACCTATTCTAATTTGTGATTACATTGATCTTTTTCATAATATCACTAAACTAGTTCATATTACTAACAGCATTCCTTTTTCAAGTGTAGATTGTGAACGTGGATTTTCTAAGCAAAATGCAATTAAAACTTGCTTACGCAATTCTTTGAATCCATTTACCTTAGATGCATTTATGCGGATTTCGTTAGAAGGAAAAGAAAGTAAAAAAATGAATTGGAGTAAAATATATCATGAATGGTACAATGTAAAAAATAGATACAATATACAGTAAATTGATAATGATATTGTACTATTAATTACAAGTAACGAAGCTATATTCTTTCCATATGCATTGAAGAAAATATGTATTACACGGCGGAAAGTTATAATAAATAAAAAAAAATGAAGCTTGCGACAATAAAAGAAAAATAAAAAAAAAATTGAAGCTTGCGACAATAAAAGAATTGTCTTCAAATATATTTTTTAAAATGATTAAATTTTAAGGTGTTCATATTTTTATTAACATTAATTGTAGTCTCCGGCACGAGTTTCAAAATTCCGGTTAAAAAAAAGATCGTTGGAAAAAAATCAGGATGCGTCATGCCACAATTTTGCGCACTGGTGTAAACCATTATATCACGGAAATTAACGCGATTTCCCTGATTTTCATGATTTCAATTTGATTTCTCTTATTCGCAGAATCAAGGAAATCAGAAGTCATGTAATTTCTATGACAATATGGTTTGTAATGGTTTACATCTTTCTGCGAACAGCTATAAATCGAATCATCATTTAATGAAGGGCCTAACATTCAGTTTATTAAACAAATATATTAGATAACTCAATAAATCTTTGAATAAATAAAGATCCCCAAGTAATTTTAGTTGTCAAAAAAGCAGTGTGAATGCATTTTACATGATATTTTGATTTGTGTAATAGATCATAAAATAAATGATAAAAATTTACACTTCTAATAATTATAAATTGATATTTAGTTTTTAAATTTACAAATTTTAAATTGAGAATTAACACAAAAATATATAGCTAATTTTTAAAAATTTCATTATCTTCAATTTGAAAAAAATAAAAAAGATTTTTTTAAAAAGAAACCAAAACATTCAAATTATGAATCGCTAATATGAACTTCCGAAATAGAGCGGCTACCTTAAGTAGACAATAATAAAGCAATAAATTAATATTTAATACCAATGCATTAAATGTATAAGCAATGTGAAGTAATTTCGGTCCTTTTAGTACCTTTAAGACGCTTTGTTATTTCTTGTGCATCGATTAATGTGCTATAATATTTATTTTGATGCATTGATAAAGATTTTAGTGTTGTTTTTTTAATTATACTGTCAGCATCAATGAATTTCTTTTTTATATAAAGTCCCTCTTCATCTGTCAAATTTTCTGTTTCTAAAATTGTTTTCCATTGATTAATATGTAAATGAACGTATTCAGCAGTAGGCCGATTTTGTGGATTTGAATCCATGCATTGTTTAGCTAAATCAATATAGCAATCAGGAGTTCCTTTGGCAAATTTTGGACGTAATCCATCGTAAATTTTTAAAGCAAGTTCGAAATCGTGCTTAGATCCATCATAAGGCCTTTTTCCAGTTGTTATTTCTGTCATAATAATACCCAAACCATAAATATCTGCCTCTTGTGTGTGTTGACAGCCCTGGAGAACTTCTGGAGCAATATATGGCAGGACTCCATAAACAACATTATTTGAATCATTATCATCTTTTTTTCTAGATAATCCTAGATCCGTAATGTATGATTTTATATTTCCATCGATATCTTGGTTTAGTAAAATATTTCCGCTGTGAAAGTCATTATGAATAAGTCCTGTTCCATGAATTCGAGATAAATCATGAGTTATATCTGCAAGTTGCTTTAGTTTCTTTTGCCACACAAGTTCTCTAAAATTTTTAGTTAAAAAGTCATGAAGATTTCCTCTATTGGCATATTGATATACCATCATATATTGACCAGTATCTGTTTGAGTTAATCCGTATACTTCAAGTGCACTACCTTCTAATCTACATTGCATATGATATTTAAACTAGAAAGAATATATGAGTAAAGTTTTATAAAGTTATATCCAATAATCCGTATTCAGACGTAATAACGCACAAGGGATTTATAAAATTTCCACTATTTTGTCCATATGCACCACCTTAAATATATGAGATATTTATTGTGTTACATGTAATTTTTCACATGAAAACTATCAAAACTGATTAAAACCGATTCAAAATATCGCATATATGCGTCCTTAAATAATTTTCACCCTGTGCATTATTCACCAAAATACGGTAAGCAAAAAAATTTTGGCTTACCTCATTTAAAAATTCGGAAGAGCTTGTTTGAGAACCAGGCAATGTCTTAAGAGCAACTTCGCAGGATTTTTTACGATATCGTACATAACCTAAATTATCATCACCTTCGACCATTCGTTTACCATCTTTCCAAATTGATGAATATACTGTACCAAACCCTCCTCTGCTAATCTCTTTTATATTATCTAGTCTATTATATGGAATCCATTCAATAACATTCTCAAATGTCGTAGCTTTAAGTTGAAATTCCTTAATGCAATCATCTATGTTCTTATCGCCACTTGTTTCTTGTACCGTTTTTGGGGGATCACACAATTGACACCAGGCTGGAGAGGTGTTATATCGCTTGCAGTGCTCACATATTCCATTAACGGGTTTTCTTTTATTATTATAAAAATCAATAACAAGCATGTATTGACCAGTTTTCGTGTTTTGAGTTATTCCATGTATTCTATATTTCTCTGATTGCATATGATTTTTAAACTTATATATATAATATATATATATATTAATTAATTAAGCAATACTTCAAGTAGAGTTTGGATCCGATTTTAATTATGTTAAAATAGGTTTAATTGGGTTTTTTTTTAACATAAGAAAATAAGACCGATTTCAAACTCTAATTTCAAGCAATAAAACTAATTATATAAGCAATTTCAACTTACATTTTCTAAAAGTTCCATGGTGTTCATTTGAGAATAATTCAATTCCATAAGATCAACAGATGATATAGTGCGTGACTGTATATATTTTCCAGATTCACCTTTAATTATTCGTACACCTTTGGTCCAGGTTGCCATTAATACAAGATCTGATTCTTCTTTAATTTCTTGTAAATTAATTAGTTTATCGAATGGAATCCATTCAATCACCTTTTCATATTCTGTAGCATTAAATTGGAATTCTTTAATGAAATTATCAATCTCTTTATTTCCACTTGTCCATTCTTGAGCTACTTTCCAAGGATCACAGGATTGGCACCAAGCAGATGAAGTATTGTAACGTTCACAGTGTATGCATATTCCATTTGAATCGTTTCTAAATTCATCTGGTATTACAATTATATATTGATTTGTTTCTCTATTTTGAGTAATTCCATATACAACATTTACACCTCTTTTCATATAATTTATGAACTTAAAAAATTATAATGTATTAATAGCATTACTATAGGTTGTAAATAATGCAATGATAAGTTAACTTACTTTTTTTATAAACAAATCGCTTGTTTGAAACTCATGTAAGATTTTAAGGTTAACATCACATGAACTAATACGTGATCGTGTATATTCTGCATGTTCACCTTTAATTATTCTTACACCATCTAGCCATGTCGCCATAAAAATTGTTTCTGATTTATCTTCTCTAACCTTTTGCAAATTATCCAGTTTATTAAATGGAATCCATTCAATCATCATTTCATATCCCATAACATTGATTTGAAAACCTTTAATACATTCATCAATATTTATATTTCCACTTGTCCATCCTTCAATTGCTTCTAAAGGGTCACATAATTTACACCATGTTGGAGAAATATTAGGCCGCTTGCATCTTGTACATGTTTCATAAAAATTATATCTTTAATATAAAATATAAAATATTAAAATTATATTAATTCTTTTAATTATATTTGGTTTTTCATTTATGATAATTGATCGGTGATGTTATAATGAAATTTATACTTACGAACTAATAATATTTATAAATTGAAGGTATATATTTAATTGTTGTTTTTCTTGTTGATATTAAATGTCGCGGCTGAAGCTGGAAACTAGGGACATCGATTTGAAAATATAAATCCTACCAAGATCCACTTATACTCTTTTATTATTAAAACTAAACTTAAACACTATTAAAAAAAGTTTAAGAAAATGCACCCAAAAATTTTTTGAAAATTTCATATTAAAATAATTAAATTTCCAACTTCAGCCATTTCCAACTTCAGCTGTGACATTAAATAATTAATGAGTCTTAATACAGTAATACTTACTCCCTTTAATATGAATAATAAACCATGATTAGGAGATAATATGTAATAACAAATACTAATTTTATAAATTAATTAGAACTTTGTACTAACCGTCTAATGAATTTATTTGTTCAGAATAATATTTATTTATTTAAAAAACTCGGATTAGATAATATTCTTGTTATACTCACGGGATAAGGCACAAAGTTATTCCTTTGCACATAAAATAGCCAATGGTCGTTAAAATCTTAAGGCTAGACGTGATAAGCAAAAGGAGTGGAACCAAATTATAAACCCATATTAATTTGGAATTGTAATAACTGACCTATTTAAATAATATTGCGAAACATGATATTTGAACAGAAAATTAAATAAATAAATAAATATATGAATGTCATCAACGTCTTTATTCTTTAATCGAACCTTACTCGTGGATAGAAGTAATTTCATAGATTATATAATGTTAATTATTTACTCACTTGAATAATAATTTGTGGAATATTTCTAATAACTATATCGAAGAATGCACCACATATAATCGCAACTTCAAATATATTTTCAAGTATATTAAATCTATTAACTTGCTCATATCGATAAAAACTTTTGGTTATATCTTTCAAAATTATTAAATATATATAATCAGTCATTATCAAAATAATGAATATAACTATTAAGCCTTGATATTCCTCAACCAATTTTTTAAGATTTTTATCAACAATAGGATCATTAATCACTTTACAAATAGCACCGGTTACTATACAAAAGTTGATAAATAATGGAACACACAGAACGAGTACACTTCAAAGTGCGTTATAACAAAGATCAAACATAAAGGTGGCAACAAATTAGCATTAATTTTAATGGTAATGGAAATAAATTTATTAAGCATAAATACCTTGGCCAGTAAAGCATCGGTACATCATTAGAATAACCGATAACAAAGAGAATTGAAAGAACAAAATTAGGAATAATTAATCCAAGTATATTTACAGCAGAGTTTATTCTCTCCAAACGTATCGATTTTAGCTTTTCGAAACAAAATTTATTAATATTCACAATAAAAAGCTCTTAAAAGAATATTAATAAAATAAAATCACCTTAAAATTTAGTATAAAGGATAATAAACGAAAGGCTATAAAAATCATAATTCCGATGATAATTTGTATTTTATATTCATTCCAATAATTTATTATAATCTCTATGATACGAAAATTAGTCACAAAATTCAACCTTTCGGCATTTTTTTTCATTGAGGTCATTAACTTACCAATTAATTTAAAGCCGTAATCTTGGTCTAAATCATTTGTCACACCGGAAGAGAATGAAGTAATATTCTTGTAAGCAATCATACTATTTAAATCCGAAAGTACTTTAGAAGAACTCCTTTCAATATAGATTGGAATAGCGATTTGGCCGTTAAGTACTTTTTGAAATTTATTTGTGCTTAAATGGGGACGATGTATTGGCACTTTATCAGCAAGTTCATTCAATAAATTATCAATGTACGCTGATTGATTGTTATGTATTAAGAATCTTTTAGAAGCGTCTATGGTAAGACGTACTGAGCCCATAATGGATTCATCTACAAGGGAGTATTATGAGAACCATGGAATATGCAGTATTATATGCACATATAATTCACGCATTACCTGAGAATATTTTCTGATTATCTAAGTTATTTAAAGTCCAAAAGGATAAAATGAATACTAAAATTTTCCAAACAATTTAAAGAATAATTAAAAATATTACCTGATTTAAGAATCCAAATACGATCATGAATTCCTTTTAGAGGTTCATTAGATTCAACACGTTTGACAAAATTATTATCCATCGTCACAAAATATTGTTCGCCATACTCGTTGAAGATACTACTAATGACTGTTATACTGACAGTAAGCCCATCTGGACTGATTTTACAGAACTCATGCATCGTTGCTGAAACTCTTTGTCTAATCCTGTTATCAGAGGCTTTGTAGATTGTGATATTGCCATTTGACAAAGCAATATGATAAATGAAGGTGATGTTTAGGGTGGTCGTTGATGAATTGACAATAGCGTTGATTGATGGTGTAGTTTTTTCTATTAGGACATTCTCATATCCAGAATCTAAACAATCAAAAAGCATAAATTATTAAATTTCATTGAAAATAAAATTTTATGTTAGAGTTTATTATAAGTATACCATTTAAATGAGCAATAGGTAATGGGATAGTAAGCAAAGACCAAGAAGTATTATCTATTGTATAGGGTGAAGCTAGTAAAAAAGTATTATTACTCGTAATAGCATTTACACCAAGGTAATTTGTGAGAAAAGGTCCCGGTGAGTTTAAAGGCATTTGAGAATCGGCAAAATTATAAGGATAAATATAATGATAAAATTTATTATCAATATCATCATAAGCAGTAAGACCTAATATATAACCACCAAATGGCATTATTTTTGCACTCCAACTTTGCTGGGGTAGTCCAATCACGTTAGGGAGATCAGATATTACTTTTCCAAATAGCACCGTTCCTGATGAATCTAAATAGATTCTTCCATAGTTCATTGTAATGCCGTTGTTAACGGCAAATACACACAATATATATATATCATTTGTATCGCAATAAACTGAGTTAATTATCATATTTGGTTTTGTTATTTGGTAAATGACAATCTCTCTGTATTGATTGTCGTTGTTGGATATTAATAACGCGTATAGCCCACCATAATGTGGAAATAACGAATCGCTGAGTGTGTCGTTATAAGCTGCTACCACTATATAACCATTATCAACGGTGGATATTATTGAAATTGGATATTCAGAATAATGATAATTAGTGATATCATCGGTTTTTTTTTTATTTGTTAAATTTCCAGAAGTTAATTTTCCAGAATCATCACTATTGGTTATAATATTAAAACTTAAATTTAATAACAGTAATAATAATCTTAAAAATTAGGAAAGTTAAATTACATTAAATATTGTCGCCACTCCAAATTTGTCTGGTCAGAAGCAAATCTAAGGAATCCAAGTTTCTTGTCTATATTTAACTGAATTGTACTGTTAACCCAAACACCCAAACGCGTTGTACTGGTGATTTACAGATTGAATGTTAAATAATCGTTATATAAAAACGAAAATAAAATATAGATATACCTTCGACTATTTCCATCCCAATCGATGACATCCGCCCACTCTTCATAAGTTGTAAGATTAGAAGAATTTGTAGTTTTTACATAAGTTACTAAAATGAACTGTTTTTGTAAAGGATATATTGAAATAGGATTTATTATATTATACAATATACTTGTGTCGTTCTTATCTTTTAAATATGTAACCATATTGTTAAGTTTGTTAACTTTGTATTCAGTGATATTAAGTAAACAATAATTTATAGGTTGTAAATTTAAATTGGGATCGATCTCTTTAACAGTTTCATTTAAATGAATAACTCTTATACGTAATTTCTGTTCTAAACTTATTCCTCGAATTTTTGAGCAATCATCAGTTATTTGTGTCGATACATTTCTTATAATATGAACGAGAATTGTTCCATCATCGTAAGTTTTAATGTCTGCTACAAGTGATGGTGTACTCTCTGTGTAGTTAAAATATTTATACTGTGATTGTTGTGATTTCGTTGATGTTATGACCAAGAAAATGAATAAATACTGGACTATAAGTTTATAAGGTTGACTAGATATTTTCATCCCGAATTATTTTTATATCGTAATCTTAGAAAAATAGATACATGAAAATATACTTGTTACTCTAAATATATCCTCTCTAGTTTTGTAAAACAATGGTATTTTATGAGTACTAGAATATTCTTCTATTAGTACCTCTAAAATATTAGTATGTCTTTAATATGTAATTGTCATATGTAAAATAGATATACGAAAGATATAAAGTTTGAAGGAAAATTCACGATCGTAAAAAGCTTACAAATCAAAAAATAAATGAAGTTTACGAATCACTGACTTCAAAATAATTAATTATATTAGTGAGGGTTCAAAGTTAACAAATAAGTTACGTATTTTGAAATTAAATGAGGGTTTGAAAATCTTATTTGTTTTTCAAGATTTTAAAATCGGAAAATGAAATGGGAGTGCTTGGAGATCCCTTTTCTTTAAACGGAAAATTTTTATAAAAAAAATAAATAAATAAAAAGTATTTCAAGACAAATGCGTCATCAATTTCAATTAAAATTAGATTTCCGCGTTTTAACTTTGAAACTAAGGGTTGGACCCGGGTAAATACTACCCGAGTATCCCGCGGATACAACGGATATCCGGTTAAGATTTTTGTTATCTGGGTAAACCTATCCGGGTAGATTAACCTGGTAATTACCCGAGTAACAATATTATAGACAAAAGAAAAAAGTAAATTGTACCTTTTCAATATAAAAGAACATGTATCAAGTAGAAATAACTTTTAGATATTCTTTGAAAATAAAATTATAAGTAATTGCATAAATTACTTTGGATAATTAATGCACCACCAACCTGACATATGCTTTTCAAGAAGTGCTTGATTGATTAATTGCATAACAGTGATCCCAACTCTGATTAATTACATCATTGGTTACGCATTATCCGTGATCTTATTTGTTTGCCCAGGTAATCCGGATAATAATAACCAAGAAGTCTAACCGACGGTTAACTCGTGTAAGGTTTTTTTGAATGGGTCCAACTCTTATTTAAAACTCCTATTACCAATTAATTCGAAATCAGAAACTCTGAGCATTAGGTTTGAATCACCCTAGTGGTCCTTTCTAACGTTACTTCCGTTGTTAGCTCATCGATCAAAACGTGTGTCTATTTTCTTTTTTTAAAAGCACTTGGCTGTAAAGCCGCGAGACGCTAGAGTGCGGACTAAACTAATTATATCAAACATTAGTTAGGGTACTGTAATATTTGAAGATCACTAATATCGGATTTATTAATATTAATATTAATATTAATAGCTAAATTTCGGTAATCAATTTTGTTACCGATTTACGTACGTATACACGTTTCTATAGGGTGTGTAACGGCCTATTAAATCAAACATAGGCAGGGTTAATTATGATCATCACTAATTGCGGGATTTTCTAATGGAATTTTGGTTTTACCGATAGTTAAAATCCCGACGCTCAAAATCCCGATAGTATCAAAAATTGCTTTTGGGATTTTAAGCGTTGGGATTTTGGTGTCAGAATTCTGAAGAAGTTTTGCAAAAATTTACCTGATTGAGTAATAGAAACCAATTTATTAAGTTTGTATGGCCTATATAATTGATATTGTAAATCGAAATATACATGTCATATCTAAAGTTACTATCTATCTGAAGATGCAACTTTATATGTATAAAGTTGCACCTAACTAGAATTATATATGTGAAGATCTAATTTCAGGGGCTTAATTTTAGTCAGGTCAACTTTATATATCTAAAGTTGCAACTTCAGATAGATTATAACTTTAGATACGACATACATACATTAATATGATTATCGCTATAAATTTTACTAAAATAAAATTGCATTTCTTGAAATAATATGAACAAATAAATAAATACTGTTGTTTTTTTTTTTTAAATTGAAGCTCTAAATCAGTTTTACACTTAAATAGAGCTATTTTTAATCTTTTTTTAAAAAAAAAGTAAAAAATACTAATAATAGAAACCAAAAACACTAATTATTAGTGTTCTAAATATTTTTTATAAAAATATTAAAAAAAATATCTCTATTTCCTTGTAGAGCTAGTCTTGAGGTTCAATTTTTTTTTTAAAAAAAAATAGTATTCTATTTAGTTAATTATTTATTTCAGTAAATGTAATTTTTATTTTAATAAGATTGATATGCGTTGTGAAGGTCAGTCCCGGTCAGTCCCGGTCAGTCCCTGTCTCTAAGACCGATTTTATAATGTTTATTAGTGTACTATAGGTACACAAAGTGACATGTTTTGTGATTTAGTGTTTTAGTGTTCTAGTGTTTTAGTGTTTTAGCATTCTAGTGTTCTAATATGGTAGATATACATAGTGTATAAGTTGCGTTCTTGATATACATATAAATAATGGCTATAAATGCATCAAAAAATTAGCTTTAACATATTTTCTAATATGGTAATAAACCCAATTAGTGTGTTCTAGTGTTCTAGTGTTTAGTGTTTTAACGTTCTAGTATTTGTGTTTTTGTGTTCTAGTGTTTTAGTGGTTTAATATTTTAGTGTTCTAGTGTTTTGGTGTTCTGGTGTTTGGCATTCTGGTGTTTGTGTTCTGGTGTTATATTGTTTTAGCATTCTGGTGTTCTAATATCGTAGATCTACATAGTGCATAACCTATGTTCTTGATGTACATATAAAATAATATCTATAAATGTATCAAAAACATAGCATTAACATATTTTATATATTAAAGCACTAAAACACTAAAACATTAGAACACTAAAACACTAGAGCACAAACACTAGAGCACTAAAACACTAAAGCACTGGAACACAAACACTAGAACGCTAAAACACTAAAACACTAGAATACTAAAACACCATATTAGAAAATATATTTAAAGCTATTTTTTTGATGTATTTATAGTTATTATTTTATATGTACATCAAGAACACAACCTATGCACTATGTAAATCTACCGTATTAGAACACTAAAACACTAGAGCATTAAAACACTAAAACACTAAATTACAAAACATGTCACTTTGTGTACACCGTATAGTTGGTCTGTCTTTTCGGGGTCTCATGACTTATAATTTTTCAATGGGTGCTTTTAGGCATCTCTCTGGGGAGATACATCTCCCGCAGGGAGATATATATCTCAACCATCCCAACCAATCAAAAACCGCAAATATCACGTGACACGATCCCGAAGTACTAGACATATTTGTACTACTCGGACCTTTATTTTACCGATCAACATCAGACAAAAAAAAAACCAAAAAAATACTGTCCTAGTATCGTGCTACATATTTAATTTTTTCACGCACCCGCACGGCTAATTTATTTTAATTTGTCATATTTACGTCATACAGTATTTAATTAAACGTCATCGTGTAATGATTATAAATTTTATTAAAAAAAAAAAAGAAAAAAAAAACGCGCAACATCAACAAAACCCAAAACCAAGAATATCATCACACCGACGATAACATTAACAACGGCAACTTCACTAATACTTGTTGCCAATTTCACGTCACAAAGTATGCAACGAACATCGACAAATCCCAAAAACCAACGAATATCGTCACACCGACGATAACATCAACAGCGGCGACTTCACCAAAACTTGGTGCCGATTCCATATCACAAAGAACCTAAAAAACCTAAACAAGCCAAAGAAGAGAAAAAACATTTAGCGAACATGGGAATATAACAAAGAAAGAAAAAAAAAAAAAAAAAGAAAACTACTCACCAAGAGCGCTGATTCCAGCCCGACAAAATCTAAACAAGCCAAAGAAGAAAAAAGAATAGTTAGTAAATATTCAAAAAAAAATAAAGAAAAAAAAAGAAAACTAACTACTCACCAAGAGCTACGTCCGCACAATTCCCAGATCCAATGAAGACAAGACAAGCCCCGTATGAAGAAAAAATGCCTAAAAAATTGAAAAAAGATTAGTAAAGAACTAAAAACATCAAAACCAAATCCACAGTGAAAAAACGCACATAACCACTTATAAGAACGCCAGAAAAGAATGCAAAGCCATTCCACAAAAACACCGGAGAAACACGTAAGTTCACAAGAACGCCGGAGAAATCCCACAAAAAAGTTGGGATGCACGCAAGACCACCCCACAGGAACATTCTGCAAGACCACCCCACAAGTCACCAGTGACGCAAACGAAATCTAACGGCGGCACCAAACCAACAACGACAACAACACCAGCGATGACAACGACACCAACGACGACACCAGCGACGACAAGACACCAGCGACTACAAGGCACCAGCGACAACAAGACACCAACGACACCAACGGCAAAAAGCGGCAAGCTAAAAAAAAAAAATTAATAACAAGCGAAAAAAAAAAACAAAATACGGTAATAAAAAAAAAAACAATGAGGGGTGCAGGATGAACTAAACCGACCCCTGATCCGGCATCGGTACGCCGGGTGGGAGATGCATCTCTCGCGGGAGATGCATCTCTTGCGAGAGATGCCTATAATTTCCCTTTTTCAATACATAGCATTAAAATTTTTATTTATTAATCGCAAATTTTTAAAAATATAGCACATTAAATTTATGCAGTATTATAAAAAATACAGCAACGTAAATATGAATATGTATTTTATATGTGAAATTAATTTAATATAAAAAATTGAGCACAGGAATGTTTAACTATCTAATTTGCTTTTTGAAGCCAACTCTTTAAACATAGAATTGCTCTTCTTCTAATCTAGCTCTTGTATTTTTTTTTATTTTTTGGTTGGCAATTTTATTGAGGTTCGAAATATCAATATTTATTTCATTAGAATTGAAACTTCACTTGTTTTATCACACTGAGAAATATTGGGTTATGAAGCTATTATTATTATTATTATTATTTGTGTTGTTTTCTTTATATTAATTTATTAGCTTTTTTTATCAGTAGCATTAGTCATCATTAGACCATAGCCAGGACTAGCACTGGATGATTCCGGACTGAGGACTGAGAATTATTCAGTTCTTGGTCTTTTACTGTCCGGTCCCAGTCTTTATGAAGACGTGACTTAAAACAAAACTTTTCTTTATATTAGGTCAGATGCATATAAATACAGCAGTTTTGGTATATCTATTGATCAATGCCGAGATGGCTCAGGTTGAATCTTACCATTTTACCAAAATTAGTTAGTATATTGAACTTAGTTGATTTATTCGCTTTATCTACTTTAGCGAATTTATCCACTTTAACAGATTTATTCTTTTTATCCACTTGATAATATTTAGTGAATAAGTTCAAATTCAAAGCCTGTATTTAGATAAGAATGTAAAAAGTATAAATATGATGTCTCTTTCTTCACAATAAAGAAAGGAGTTGGCATAGCTTATTAGAGTTCGACTAGAGGTGCAGACATTTAGAATTTTGGAGGTAGCTACCCAGCAAAAATATCACGACGACACGGTAGGGTATTCAATAAACTAATTAATCAAAACATAGTTAGGGTCATTAAGTTCGGATTTTTTAAAGGGTTATTTCACGTATAAATTTATATATGAGTTTAGGTACATTTTTCTACACAACTAACAGACAAAATGTACCATATATTTTTTTTAAACTGTAGCTCTAGACTAGCTCTACACTGTAATAGAACCGGTTTT